CAGCTGAGCGGCAGCTCGGAGAGATTTATTGCTGTTGCCTACACAGACCCGTTACGGGTCAACATTTCTGCCAGCACCTGGGAGCTGTGCAGCACCAGCCCTGTTTCACACTCCGGAAACCACAAAAAGCAACGAAATTCGTCTGTGACAAAAGTGGAAGGAGATCCTAGGGTTTCTGGTGCCCCAACATCTTGGCAAGAAGCCCACATCTTCGGTAGGATAAATCTCTTCTGATCTGGCCACTTCAGGGAGTTGTATTATTTCATATCACCAGTTCATCCCAAAGTGTCTTCTCCTTCCCTTTTGTTCAGCAAAACATGAGAAGAGGAAAGAAACAAACCAGGAGGCAGGGTGACCTGGAGAAGCAGAGGTGAAGGAGATGCCTACCGTTGTGGGCAGCAGAAGAGGTCTCTTGCGTCGTCACCGTTGCACTGAAATTCCTCTCCGTCATCTCCACTTCTGTGCTGGGGAGAGCGGTGCGGGGAGCAGACGGCGTCACGCTGGGTAGCAGGGAGGTGGTCGGAGGCTCGGGTACGGTTGTCCCCAAGGTGGAGGTGTTGAGGCTGACAGCGGTGGTGTTGGGGGAGATCCTGGTGGCTGTGGTTGTAGGCGGCTTTGACGCCATGGTAGGAACAGTCACTGGAGTGCTAACGTTGAAGCTGTTGGTGCTCGTCGTAGTCCCATCCTCAGGACGTGCTGTAGGAGCTTTGCTGGGGCTCCTGGGGGAGGTGGGCACTGTCGTGGGTGGCTCTGCAAGAGAAGAAAGCACAAGGGAACCTCCATGAGATACCTTTCTGCAGCACTGCGGGGTTTAGATGCTGGAGATTCATGAGACTGTAACTACAAGGATAAAACAGCCAGAAAATCCCCAGTCCAGGACGGAGAACGCTGCGCATGGCATGGTGAGGTACGCCCCGTAAGAGCAGTTATGATATCGAGGACGTACAGAGCTTAGAGCCCCTGAAAGAGAGGATCAATAATGATGTTGATTTATAACGACCTGCAGCCCACCACCCTCTTTTTGACACCTTCTATCATGGTTAAGTGGAGGGCAGCAAGGGTAAGTCACGAAGCATGTGAGCGCTTACTCCTTTGATCCTAAAGGTGATTTCGGGACAAAAGAGAGGAGACAACGAGGGCGGTTTACCTGTCGTCACGTTGTTAGCACCTACGCTTATCAGGCCACTTCCGAGCAAAAGGAGGAAGAACCACAAATCCATGTTGACCTGGGGAAGAGAGCGGAGAACAGTTATTTCAACCCTCGTGCAACATTCATCCCAAAAGAATTCAAACTGGGGATGCCACTGCGCGTCTTGCGTGTGTAGAGCTGGAAGCGAGGAGAGGAGGTGTGGCTGGAGTCCCTGCAGGCACGCGGGTGGGAAGGATTTACTGATATGTTCGCACGTCCCGAACGGGAGGGCGCACGGAGAGATCCCAGCCTGGTGGACCAGCAAAGGTGACCAGTGATGAAGCAGAGAATGAGCCAGCTGTGGGAGAGGAACGCAGAATCACAGAATCACAGAATGGTAAGGGTTGGAAGGGACCTCTGTGGGTCATCTAGTCCAACCCTCCTGCCGCAGCCGGGTCACCTACAGTAGGCTGTAGAGGACCGTGTCCAGGTGGGTCTGGAATATCTCCAGAGAAGGAGACTCCACAACCTCCCTGGGCAGCCTGGGCCAGGGCTCCATCACCCTCAGAGGGAAGAAGTTCTTCCTCATCTTCAGCTGGAGCTTCCTCTGCTTCAGTTTGTGCCCATTGCCCCTTGTCCTGTCGCTGGGCACCACTGGAAAGAGTCTGGCCCCGTCCTCCTGACCCCCACCCTGCAGATATTTGTAAGTATCCGAACGTGCTGCGAAGCCCAGCACCACAGATAAGTACCTGGTCTTAACGGTAATTAACAACGTGTTCATAGAAGGGTCTGCAAACGAGTGTACTTTGAGCAAACCGAAACGCAACGCACACGAAGGCCACGGCAAGGAGCCTTGGTCCAAAATGTCCGGCGCGGACGAAACGAAAACCCGTAAGCAATAATCCACGACCATCTGCAAGCGCAGGCTGCACGTTCGTTGTACTGTAGGGTTCTTCCCAGGAAAAGTCCTGCAGAATTACAGGACGATGACATCAGTAAAGTTGATTCCCCCAGGCTTTCCTCCCCAGCCCTTTTAAATACAAGGTTTTACGGTGATTTCTTTCCTCTGTAGACCTCCAAAAGCTCCTGAGAAATGCGTATTGTTCTCTCCTCCCTAACAGATACGGATCCAGAGGCTGAGGTAAATGACAGCAAGATGTGGGACGTCATCGTCCTGGCCAGAAGAGAGCCCAAAGCTGCCAAGCCCTGGAGCCCGGGGCCTCCCGAGGTCGGGCCAGCATCTCGCATCTGCGACAAGCCCGGAGAGGGCTGGGTGACGGCTCTGCTACGTGCCGTTGACCGGCAGCTGCCGTATGACTCTCTCCTGTCCTTCAGGCTTTTGTCACGCGTCCATTTGCATCTTCAGCATCTCCTGGGAGAAGGCTGCAGGATCTCGCCGCCAAGTCAACTCGACACGCTGCCAAGAAAGGGTTTTATTCCCGATACGCGTTCTAAGCCTCCTCCTCCTAAATACATCTCGTGTTGTTTGTTCTCGTTCTGTTTATTTAAATCTGCTTCAATCTAGACCCATCCCAAACTCCGGGCAAAAAGACAACACTAAAGTCATCAACGTGCTGGAAGCGGTATCAGAAATACAAGAACCTCCCCACCCCACCCGGGAGTATCCTCCCACCAGCACCACCCATTTACATGTTTTTCCTCCCTCCCCCCAAAGAAAACCTGGCAAAAATCGAACTTATTCAGGGACCAAAAGGTCAGACAAACCCTGAACCAGAAGGAAACCAAGCTCTGGAGATAAGAGCTTTCCTTCGGCTCTCTCCACGGCCAGCCCTGCTGCCGTGAGCGGGGCAGGCCTTTCTCCAAGAGGTCCCACTGGTGCGAGGAGCCGACTTTCCAGCGGATTTCATCACCGGTTAAAATATCTGTCTGGATGAATTTGAACCAATTCGATGCTCCCAACGCTGGTGAGAGCGGGGCTGGTCCTGCAACGCCTCCCCGAGGCCCCGCTCCAGGGTGGGATGTCTGGAAAACCCACAGCTGGTAGGGTTTCCATGGCAGGCTCCACTCCTGGTGCTTGCTGAGGCCACCTGACAGGTAATCACACTCTGGAGCTGAGCTGGTCCGAAGTCAGAGAGGTTTCCCGCCCCCACAGTGTAGGAAAGCGAGCTCGTGTCCTCCCCGTGTTGAACTGCAAGCAACACAAAGCCGCGCCGCCAGCGAGAACGAAAGCAACTCGCTGCAGGAGACAGATCCTCCGAGCATCCCACCGCGGAAACCCGGGGAAACAGCGCGCTCCTCGCGACCGGACCCACGCGCGAAGGCGGGAGGACCCTAAGTCCACGCTGAATCCCCCAACGAACGTAACGGCGGCACGGAGAAGCTCCCGAAACCTCGCAGGCGCTGGTGAAGGCGACAAGGTCGCGTTACCGCAACCGCTTCCCTCGCCGGGAACCCATCGCTACCGCAACGAGCAAAGAGTAACGAGGCAAAGGGAACGACCTGGCTCTTCTGTGAAGACTACTAGGAGAAAAAGTGACTGTTCGCTGTGTTTTGATGAAGATTTGTAGAGAGAAGCCATTCTCGCAGGTGGATGTGGGTCCTCTCCTCTTCCTCCCACCCTGCTTCTCCAAACAAGAGTTCCAGTTCCTTTGGGATCATGCTCATTTGGGATCATGTTCATTTGGGACTCCCGTTCATTTGGGATTCCTGTTCCTTTGGGATCACCTTCATTTGGGATTCCCACAGCTATGTCTGCACTAGCTCTGCAGCAGCCGTCTTCCCCGAGAGCAGACAAACCAGCTGCTAATGGGGACGCTCCCACCGCGTTGGCATCCCACTGGCTCCTCACACTGAGGTCTTCCTCCTCTCTGCATGGTCCATAATTGCCCGGTCTCTGGAAAACCATACAGATCTTAACTTCTCCCAAGCCTTTCTTAATGGCTTCAAGGATCTTTTATGCTGGCAGCTCCAGCTCTTGCAGCACACCTCAGATACCAGGAGAACTTCTTCACTCTGAGGGTGACGGACCACTGGAACAGGTTGCCCAGGGAGGCTGTGGAGTCTCCTTCTCTGGAGATATTCAAGACCTGCCTGGACGCAGTCCTGTGCAGCCTGCTCTGGGTGACCCTGCTTGGGCAGGGGGTTGGACTGGGTGACCCACAGAGGTCCCTTCCAACCCCGAACATTCTGTGATTCTGTGAGAATGACAACTTGTTCATAGTCACTCAGCAAAGGGGTGGCAGAGCTGGGACTGGAGCCCAGGAGACCCGGTTCCTCTCCTGTCTGTGGTCCCTGGTGTCCTTTTGAGGAAGGTAAGGATGGAAAGACCGGCGGGTTAGCCCATACCGACCCCGCAGCCCCCCTCTAAGGCCAAAAGCTGAACATCCTGCTGGCCTCCGAAGCTCTTCTGCACCATCCCCAACATATTTTCCCTTGGTATCAAAAGCAGGACATGGAGGGTGGGTGGAAGGAATGAAAAGCTGTGAATCTCCTCTTTTTTCCGCCCTCCGGTACGGGGAAGTGACCCACATACAGTAAAAGAGGTTGGTTTTATTTCTGCGACAGTGATTGCAGTATCGACATGGTTTAGCAGGCATGGTGGTGTTGGGTTGATGGTTGGACCTGATGATCTTAGAGGTCCTTTCCAACCTCAGTGATTCTGATTCTATGGATGAGAGCTACAGGTGATTCCTGGACAGGCCACAGGTACCATCTGCAAAACCCCTTCAAGATGGTGGGATGATCATAGAATCACAGACTCATTTATGTTGGAAAAGACCTGAAGATCATTGAGTCCAACCGTTGATGCAGGTCCCTCTTTTGCTGAGCTGGCAGCGCAGCACCGAGGTCCTGGAGTTACACCAGCGGGCAGGCAGCTGCCTGCCTTTAAAACCCCCTTGATATCGTCACAGAATCACAGAATGACAGAATGACAGAATGACAGGGGTTGGAAGGGACCTTTGTGGGTCACCCAGCCCAACCCCCTGCCCAAGCAGGGTCACCCACAGCAGGCTGCACAGCACCACGTCCAGGCGGGGCTGGATCCTGCCACTGGGCACCACTGGAAGGAGTCTGGCTCCATCCTCCTGACGCCCACCCTGCAGATATTTCTAAGGTCTCGTCTCAGCCTTCTCTTCTCCAGGCTAAACAAGCCCAGCTCCCTCAGCCTCTCCTCGGAGGAGAGATGCTCCAGTCCCCTCCTCATCCTCGTAGCCCTCCGCTGGACTCTCTCCAGTAGCTCCTCATCTTTCTTGAACTGGGGAGCCCAGAACTGGACACAATCACGTCTCATACGTTCACTGATCTATGAGTGGATCGGGTTGAAAGGGTTGGCGAGGGGAGAGAACACCGAATTTCCCCATGCCTCGCCCCGTTTTCATGAAGAAAGCTGGATGCAGGCGGTCCGTGCGGATGCTGAGTTTTATGGCTTTATTGCCGTGAATGTCAAAAGCAACAGGACGCCGGGCAGCCCCGGGAGCATCACGCCTTGCTGTGCAGATCAGCTGAACTGAGTGGACACCGCTCCCGCGACCGGCAATCAGCTGCCAGCACGGCTTTATCAGCTTAAAACCAGATCCGGGGCAGAGAGCAAGCGAAAGAGCCCTGCGCCAGGGGAGGGCTGTGCCAGCCCGGCTCCCAGCTCCCAGCCCCTGCTATTAAACACTGCCTATTCCCAAACGCGGTTATTAATAAATGCCAGTGGTACGCCGTTACCCGCTTCTTAACATAAAAGGCCTCGAGAGTCCTACCCCAAAGCTGGAGAAACCCGAGTCTCCCTTCCCCCTCGGCTCCCTCCCTGCCGGTTTCGGAAATGGAGAGGAAATACTTCTAATGTTATCAACATAAACACAGCTCTTGGCTGGCCGCGACATCCTGCGAGCTCTGCAGAAAAACACCCTGACGTCACGGCGCCGGCTCTGCCGAGGAGAACGGAGCCGGCTTCGGCATCGCTGCCCCGCCGGGGTGGGATGCTCCGCGTCGCGTCTTCGATGCAAACCTTCCTTTTCGAAAGTCGGGGCAGAAACCCGAATAATCGCTACCGGTGTCGCCAGCAATACTATCTATTTTCATGTGTGTGTGTGTGTGTGTGTGTATGTATATATACATGTACATATACATATATTTTCATGTATGTGT